ATATATATATATATATATATATATATATATATATATATATATATATATATATATATATATATATATATATATATATATATATATATATATATATAATGATTAGAATCTCATTCAATAAATTTTTGGTATACCAAACTTATTAAGAATTAATGAATTGAAATTTCATTCAATAAGTTTCAATCTAAAATATTGTTCTGAGTAGTGTACTACTCATTTACCAAGGATTTAAATAAGAGCAAAAAAAATTCATCTGTCAAATTTTGATATTTAAAATAGTAATTTAGTGGGGATGTATTAGAGCCACTTATTAAAGATTGATGATTCAAGATTTCATCTGACAACTTTTAAGTGATGTATTAAAAAGGGTCTGGGATCAAATCTCATGTTGACCATTTGACCTTAAAAATATTTAAAAAATTGATCTAGCAAATAACCTTAATTAAATAATGCCATTTATTATTCAGAAGTCAACTATATATGAGTCAATTAGAATAAATGACCTCAATATTTATCCTCCTTAAAACTCATTTCTTCTCGTAGAGCATCCATCCATCATCATTCCTTTATCTTAATTACAATTGTATGTAATTACTGACAATAATTATATTATATTATATATATATATATTATTTATGCTAATAAATGAACTATATATATATTTTTCGTTTACTTGCTTGGGCCGAATCATTTCGGTCTTGACATGATTGGCCTGGGCTGCGTCTAAAAGGACCAAAACGGTGCCTTGCTTCTATGGGCCCTCCCTCCTTTTAATCTCTCTCTCTCTCTCTCTCGCATCAATGGGAGCGGCGTCGATTGCCCAGCGAGAGTGCGCGAGCGAGCTGCCAGGCTTTCCGATGCCATGGAGCAGGTGATCCGTGATCCCTCTTGCACTCGTCACGTCTTCGTTTCGATTTCGTTTCTTCATGTTCGGATTCTAGGAGATCACGTGAACCCGCATCGGTGTTGTGAGGTCAAGGATTATAAGGATTTGCCCCCGGCGAGACCGTCCACTTGCAATGATCTATTTGCCTCCGATCAGTTTCCTTGGCATGATTTTCTTCCCGTCAATTCGTTCGGGGAGTAGGTCATCCGGGAATGGCATGATGTTGTCGCTTTCTTCTTAGTTCTTGGAGTTATTGCTTTGCCTGAGCCATTTTGTAGCTTTGATCTTTATGCATGTTGCATCAGATTTAGGAGCAGCTTCTTTGTTTGTAGTTGAAAAGGCGCGTGCATTGATTCTCCCATGACCCCACATTGGCGGTATGCTCCTGTACTGGAATCACCTGCCCTTGTTATGATTTCCTCTGAACACTTATCTCTTGCCTATAGATGTCAGTTGAGAATCAATGCCATGGAATTTGAGATATTTAACCATTTGAAGAGGTACCTTGACAATGAGATATGTGCTTCATTATAAATTTAATGCAGGGAGAATCAGTGTCCATCTTAAATTACAGGTTAGATAACTATCATAACAAGATTGATAGGTGAATTATATGATGTGCAAAGCATGATTGTAACATAATGTAGCGTATAAGTGGTTTAGATCATCATCTGGTGCGTAACAAGTTCCGTCTCAATATTTTCTTAATTTACTGAGATCATCTGCCCTTTCTATTATTTTCTATGGAACCTTATGTCTTCCTCGGTTACTAAACTATAAGTTTGTGGTCGAGCTAGGATTTATATTTGAGGGGCACAACACTTGATAGATTTCAATTGAGATTCAATTGCATGCATGAAATTATTCCACAGCAGTGTCATGTATGTTAAGAAATATATCATTTGAAGAGAACGAGTGCATATATTACTAAAAGTTGGCACAGAAAAGGTAGCAGACAATGAGATATGTGCTTGATCGTAATACTGTAATATGATTGAGAAGATAAAATCCAGTAAAGAGGAAATCACAGACACATTGCCAAATTTTAGATTACAATTTAGATAACTATTATAAATTATAATTATCATAATTGGATTGATAGGTGAAATATGTAACGTGTAAAGAATGAGTGTAACATAATGCAGCACACCAGTAATTGAGATCCGCGTCAGGTAGGTAACAAGTTCTATCTCAAGCCTTTTTTCTTCTTTCCGTTTTGTTGAGAGAATAATATATTTGCTATGTATTTTTCCGAAGGATATTCATACTGGCTGTAGGGTCACTTTAAGGTTGTACTCATCAGGTCGGCCCATGTGTACAATTTCACATATGTACATTCATCAAGCAAGGCTCAGCTTGGCTCAAGCTCGACATCCTCATCATTACATGCCATGAAGTTGTCAAGCAGGGTCTCTCGGTGGAGTGCCAAGACCAAAGTTGGAGAAGATGCTCATGAAGCCCAGAATTAGAAGGGATGTGGATAATTTATGGGATGTGAGAAAGAACAATTGTGAAGAATAAAGTTGTCGGATTATCGATAGGATGGACATCTAATGTAAAGCTAAAGGGAAGCTGCTTAATTGACTCATCCTGTTTGGACCATTCGACTTGGAAGGTTTTGGTGCAGTATTTTTGTGACTGGTTTATGGAAATGTACATATCTTTAAAATTGATATTAGTGGTCTCAATTTTTTCATCTTGTTCCTAAAATTTCTATCGGTGAACTTTTAAATAGTAAGAGGCCACATATGAAACATCTATTCTTATTTCAGGTCATAGAAGAGAAACTTTTTCTGTAAGCAATGCAGACCATCAGTATCAGGTACTCTATATATTGATTAGAATGTATCCATTTCATTTAAATGAAAATTTTGTTCGTTTATATCTTGGTATGCGTATAAATTGTTTGTAGGGGTAAGGATATGTACATAGGCACTCCTTACATCTTGTATTGCAGGATACTCTTCCATTGGCTATCTCTTAATGCAATTCAATTCATAAAATTGTGATATTTTATGAATTGGGTCATCTTTTTAATTTCTCATCAAAGTTCTTTTGTAGAATTTCATATTCTTTTTAGTTTATAACGTTAATTATCGTTTTCATTTTTTTGAGAAAAAAGTAATCTCCCATCCATTATGCAGCAATAAGTTATATTAGTTGTTGGCAATAGATTTCTTTAAATTTTGGGTATCTGTCAAAATCATCACTCTTTATTTCTGTATGATAAATATTGCACACCCAAAAGCCCACACATGCACACACGCACATCATACATGCACACAGGTACACACACAACTTCCCTCAATCAGTCTGTCTTATTGGATGACTTGACTCTCATGGCGAAACATACTTATGTGAACTAAATTGTTTAACTGTAGTTACTTTCGACTTCTTTTTAATGGATCAGAAGTAGCGAAGATATAGATGAGGCAGTAGCAGGTTAATACAAAATCATCAGTTATACTGATAAAATAATGGTTCACTCATCAATCAAGAATCCTTAACATTTTGGACCCATCAGTCTTAGCCTCAACATATTGTATGTTATATTGGCTTCTTGGTTTTTATGTGCTAGTTTGTGGACTACTTGTAGGTTTTTTGAATGCCTCTAACTTAATCGTGCAACGTTTTCCACAGCACAAAGAGATCTTTCAGTTCAAGTGGCCCAAGGTTGTCACTGCGGCTTCCTCCTATATACTACAGTGTGAGTTAAAAGAACAAGGCCATTGCGATCTTTCTCAATCAGACTAGGAGAATCACCTTATTGTATGTCTATGATGTCACCCTCGATTCACGTGAGAAGAGCCAGGGTGGTGGTACAATTCCGTGAAGCAGCCTGTGCCTGTAATATATCGACTGTGTCTATGATGTCGCCTAAGGATCATGTAGAGGCAGGTCTCCTGATACATTTATGTGAGACAGGGACTGCTTCCCTGTAGAGCATGTAGAAGCAGATCCTCTAGTCTAACCCCTGGCTTCTGTGAATGCCTGTGCCATTGTTCTGTCGGAGCAGCCTATATCCAGAGTGTACTTTCTACCATCTCTCTCCATTTCTTAATCTCTGTACTGTCGCTCACTTCTACTGCTTACATTCATCTACAGGTTGGATTCAATCAGCATGGAAGATTAATTGATTGAAGCCTTCCACCCCATAATATGAGGTGAGTTTTCTTTAGCTTCTTCAATACCTTCTTGTACTAATTCTAAGTTTATCTTCCTGTTTACTGCTGCCCATTGCATTGTCCCTTCTGTTGAGTGGGGACATCCTTTATGGAGGATGGTGTGACCTGGTCTCCATCACTGGATTTGATTTGCCCCTCCGTTTCTTTATTGTGACGGCGATCTACAGCACCTGTACATCAGTACTAAAGCACTTAATATCAGCCTTCCTGATGCCATCATTTTTCTGTCCCTTATCTTCCTCTTTACTTTGTTGATCTTTGCGACGGCGCAGTGGATGGGTTGATGAGACTACTAAACGGCACAGCTTCACCAACTTCCTTTAATGCCACGTCCTACTCTCTCTCTCTCTCTCTCTCACTCTCTCTTGTTTCTTCTGAGCCTTTGCATGGCCTACAAACTCCTTTGGATTCCATATCCATGTTGCTGAGGCCCTGTAGCTGTAGATTGGCTACAGCTGGTTTATATAGATTCCATATCCATTAAGTATGGTAGGATACTTAATGGAGACGAATCAAAATCCCATGGGGGATGGATGCACCCTGGCATCAAGTGATGGGCCACCTGTGAATGATTGCCACCAGCTGGTTTATATTGATGCTGGGGGCTGGGTGGTGTTGGATCGGTATGGCTGTATCCATGATGGGATCCTTGCTGTGGTCCTCATTACTACCCTTTCATGCTTATTTTCTTGTCTTGTCTAATTACTGATGTTGATATGTTCATGCTAATTTACTGTGAGACTATGGATGCATTATAGCTGAAGAATATATTTTGCGTGTATCTTGATATTAGACTAAACTAAAACGGGATCGATCAATCATGACACCCATATGCATGCAAATATGTATTGTATAGGAACATGAATTTAACATTGGACTTTTAGTGCATGCTGAGGCCTAAGTTCGTTTTCGGCCACCTAATACTTTATTCTTGGCTAACATGTGTCCAAATTAGTTCAGGTTAGACCATTTAAGCTGTTATAGTGAAGTGCCTTTTTTGATCTTTATGCCTACTAAATGATGCATCTTTCATGCATACCATGTAAATTAGTAGATGTAAAGACTGTTATACGATCGACCAATCAATATATTATGTGTAGTTTGTTTTTGGGATGCTATTCAAACTCTCTAGTGTATTTTTTTCATATTGCAATAGATTATAATTAGGTAGAATAAAATGATTCATTTATAAGGTCTAGAATAAGCTTAGTTGATAAAGCCTTTATCAAATCATTATTTTGCAATCAAAATATATCTTTATCATTTACCCTTAAGGGCGATTTTCTTATAAAATACTCATATTTTGGGTATTTCTCAATCAGTATCTCATATTTTTTTAGATAATATATCTAATTTAAAATACCTAAAATGCCCCTTAAAAATTGTACCAATTTTTTTTACCTTTTTTTTTTGTTGCTAATTTTAAACTATTGCAGTGTTTTCATTTGACTCGTTTATAGTGTTTTACAATAGTATTTATAGTATTTTTTGTATTGAAATACCGAAAATACTGAACGTTATTAAAATTTTTTTTATTGTAGTATGTTTTACATATTATTCATAGACTATAAGTCTAGAAGTCATTATAGTGTTTTCGAATAGATTTTAGCATATTTTTATTGTAGTGAACAAAACAGAAGCCATTATTTGATTTTTCTTTTGGGTGATGCTATTCTTAAACTATTATAAATACCTAGTTGAATGATACATCAAATGAATTTTAGTGTATTTTTATTCTATTTACTTATAATATTTTTAAATAGATTTTTTATATTTTTATTATGGTGATCAAAGCTGTAAAAGATAAAAAAAATATTATAACAAGCCACAACATTGTAAGGCGAAAAAAATTTTGAGGTATAATTTAAGTATTTTTTTTAATTAATATTACCGTTTGAAGAAAACCAAAAGAGAGGATACCAAATACCCAAAAAAATGATTATATTTTTAGAAAATCACACTAGCCTTAAAAGAAATAAAAAATAATAGGTATAAATATTATAGTTTGCTCCTGTTGTTATGTCTGACGAAATCGGATGAGTAGTTATGGTGTTTTTTTTTCTTCTTTTTCAATTTTTTTTGGTGATTAAAAAAAGCTCATTGCAAAGCATTAGTGTCATCATGACATCAACCGGATGCTATCTAATTATATACCGGAATCTGTCCGTGACGATTATTTCAAGCACGGCTTCCGAGGCTTCTTTTGCCGTGCCTTTTTCTTTTCCATCCCCGTCCTCCCCCCCTCTTTTAATCGAGCCTTGGCGTACGGGCCCCACGTGGTTTCGAGGTCCAACCAAACGGTGGCTCTCTTCGGTCTCTTTCCTTCCCTCGGTCCAATTGATGCCGTTGTGGCCCTTCTTCATAAAGCCATCCATCTGCTTCTACTTTGCATGGGTAGGACGACGGGGGTTTCTTATTCTTTTGACTCCGTATCGATTTAGTTCTCTGGCAACAGTCGGGCACAGCGTGAATCCATCAATGTCTTCTTTTTCTTTTCTCTCTCTTCATGGTTTAGATTTCAAGATTTAAACTTTCTATATTCGAATTTTTTTTATTTATTCTGGAGTGCATTTATGTTAATTTTAAATTAGGATTAAAGGGAGAAAAAAAAAACTTTTTCTTCATGTGATCACTCTTCTCCTCATGTCTCCTTCAATCTGTTTATGTCACATTCATATATTTTAGAATATTTTTAATGAAACATGTAGTCTGACTAGAGGCTTCACTAAGTCCTTTTTTTTTTTTTCTTTCTTTAGATATATATGATTTGATGGGAGGACAAAAAAAATATATTTGTTCTTGTTTGCAAATAGTTTGGTGATTATGAATTGAAAATTCATGAATTGCCATGGTAAAAAAAAAGTCAGGTTCCATCATCCATACATATCTTAATCAACTCAATATTGGTCAGCCACTAATCCATTTTCATTATCCGAGGTTAGTTGTTGTTGATGGTAGAAACAAGGAAAAGCTAACTACGGTCAATTGGTGTCATTTGTTGTTAGACTTTCCTCGGACAGCTGAAGATTCTGTTCTTATCACTGAGGCATCGCCCATCTAGTGCACCCAACACGATCATCATCATGGAGGAAAGGATCAAGGTGGGCAAGTGGCTTATTGGTCCGATCATATCTGATGATAGTGAGGAGCAACTCATCCAGTCCCAAATGCCGGCTGATCTCTCATGGTGCTTCATCTCAGAACGTGCTAGGAAACTGATATCCCACTCACCGTCTTGTCTCAGTCCAAGCTTTGGTGAAGCAAGGAAGGTGGTGGTGGGAAACAAAATGCTGGTCTCTGTATGATGTTGCCTTTGCTCCCATTCATCCTACCATTCCATTATGTGGACATCATTTAAAAAAAATTGACAAAAGGATTTGATGACTCCTCTGACTTATTTTATTTAATAATAATGAGAGAAAATATATTGTACTCCGATAAATTCTCTCAATTCTCTCATCGTAATTTTGGAAAAAGGATGATCTATCATGATCCCAGACATGAAGAACACAAGTCAATTGGCTCTATATCACTCATCACTTTTTTGTTAGGTGATGTTCCTCCGCTAGATACGATTCTTTGTTGCAAGCCAATGTTTAATAAGGAGCCATCTTTTGCACCGAAAGCCAAGTATCAGATTTTATTTTCTATCAAGCAACAAATTTGTTCACCTTGTTTATCATGCCTCACTCCCCTAATTGACATTACTAATTTATGAAAGATACGTGATGTATTCATTCCCACACATAATAAACGGACATATACACATTTACTCATTTCAACCCTGATTTAAAGTTTCTTATCACTATTATTGATTTGAGCATCATGGCCACCCAAGACCTCTTATTCGACAAAAGAGTAGCACTAATGGTTAGCAATTTTAGTAAACTAGAGCAATCTACATCCAAATCAACGTAAATGGACTTATCGGGTCTAGTGATCTAGAAAGAGACCCGATCACTAACTAATACCATGAGTTTGATATGTATATTAAAGAGAAATGCCAACAACAAACAAACGAATGGTATAAAAATTATTTGGGGTGAGTTAACTTAATCATGATGGATCTATCAAAGATCATATGATAGTATAGGAGTTGCGTGTAACATTATAACTTGCAATTAGACATATAAAGATTGAATACAATTTTAAGTGACTCTTCTAGACATTTTCTATAATATCTGGGCTCTATCAAAGATTACAACCTTATATATACATATAAAGAAAGTAATCGAGTGACTAAATTATTAATCAATTATGTAAAATATTTTATATTAGACCTCTTTAATTTTTATTTCGGTTAAAAAAACACCTGGATAGATCCCTTGTGCTGCTGAGGAGACTCCTTTGAGTATCATTTTAACATTGACAAGGATCTGATGGCTCCTTTGTTCCTAATTATATTTTCTAAGGTATTTTCGTTTTGTTTTCAAGATGTGTTCTTCTTCCGAAATCACTCCAGGAGCTTCTGCAGCTCCATCAGAGAAAGGCAGTCAAGGGGTAGCTTTGGCATTCTATTGCAACATTCTCCTGAGCCTGTGATTCCCTTTTAACCTAGTCTATTTGTTTTTCACAAGTTAGGGTCTACCCATTGCAGGCTCATGATGATGACCATTCACTTTTGTCTCCACAATCCCCTTTCACCAATCACCCACTGCCTTAAATGTGACAAAGGGCTCACAAATGACCATCACTTTCCTCTTTTTGTTTTCCTTTTCCTTTTTCTTTGGAGGAGGGAGGGGGGTAAGTTGGCAGTCAGTCTGCTTTTATCTCTCTCTCTCTCACTGTAGAACAAGGTTTTTATGAATGATAAAAATCTCACAAATCGATTCTTTATCACTCAATCATATATGTATGAGGTTGTTTTCTAATAGTCTAAGCTTTTGATGATATCAAAGCAGATCACAAGTTCAATTCTATATTTATATAGCACTGAAATTTCATTCACACTTCACTAATCAGTTTGCTCATCTCATGAGAGGAGATGCTAATGTCTATATTGGGTCTTTTTCTAACAATCTAAGCTTTTGAGAATTTGATCACATAATCATATCTTTAAGGATATAAATTATTATTTTTTGCATGAGTTTTTCTTTTTTTTTTGGGGTCTTTTCACCAACTGAAACTGAATAGCTTTCTCTGTAGGTAAAACAGGGTTGGCAACGCAAGCAGATGAGCAGCAATAACATCATACGAGGCTTAAGTATGAAAGACTCCTGCCTTCTCTGACAAATAACTATATTCTGGATTGCTTGAGGCTTGGTGCAATCATCCATTGTCCTCTCTCTCTCTCTCTAAATTTCAATAGATTCTCTCGTCTCCTAGAAACTTGCACCATATTACATGTTACTTTCATTTCTCTGGCCCACCCAAGCATTTCCCAATCTCAGATCAAATTCTAGACCAAAGACACAGAAGAAGAAGTTTGTGTTTCTTGCACACAAAGGTTTCCTGCATGAATGAATAGATTAATCTAGAGACAGAAGAAAAAAATAATTTTGATGAGGAAAATAATGGTCCAGAGAAGAAAAACTTGCAGGTGTTGTAGTTTGGTTTCAGTGGTCAGATTAAAGAGCACTGTTAGATAAAGTTTCTTTAGAAATAAAATGAGCAAGAGATAGATGATTACTCTATGTATTATGTTTGAATTACTTGTGGATATGATGAATTGCAGGAAATTATGAGAACCTCAAATCTATGTAGACCACTTCAACAATCATACATCCCACCTTGTAATGGAGCCTATGCTTAATGTTGTGATGAGCTGCACCATACAAACATCCAGTCTGCGATGAGCATCTCTCTTTTTGCAAAGTTGTGGAAGTGCTTTCAGGGGAACAGTGTCAGCAGAAGAAAAATTAATGTAAAAAGAAAAAAGGACTACAGTTGCTATTGGCAGCAGCTACTCGAGAGAAACATCATCTTGACCAAGGCAAACATTGCTAGCCATGATCAGTGATGAATGCCACAGTTAACTGTCCATGGTAAAAGCTTCAGGATCCACATGATAAAAAAGTTCTCTCGGAAGGGTGAGAGCAGAGGAATAAGAGAGAGACAGAGAGAGTCATGCAGAGGAAAGGTTGATAGGCAAAAGCTGGTGGGTGAATACTTGCTTGGACTCATTGGTTGCTTTTTTGGGGTCCAGATGATGAACCTTAAAATGTCCTCATTCCAAGTTTCATTGCTGAGTGAAGAAATAGGCCATATCTCTGGTCTGCAGAACAGAGAATGGGGACTTCCAAGATGAAGAAGCCCCACATTTGTGATTCCCAATGCTTCATGGGTCCTACCTTCACCCTACTCTCCAGTGGACAATGGTGATGAGGGAGTGAGACTGCAGCTCCCTTCTCTCTCTCTCTCTCTCTCTCTAGGAGGTGGTTTGGTTCAAGACAAAAGCTAACACTGCTTTCATCTCTTGTGATTCAAAAGGTGGACTAGGGGAGCGTTAAAAGGTTGTGTAACAATCACTCCCACAGGTGTAGTTCAATGCATCTTTACATTCATTTATGAACCTTCAACCAAAGAAGAACATCCTCTGATGCCTTGGACCAAGACATCTAATCATCTTGGCTGGCACAAAAAGAATTGACTTGATACAAACCTTGGTGGTAGCAGTGTTGTTCTTGGATGTGTCACCACCAAGCATGTGAATGCACCATGACAGATGATACATCATTTGGTATGGAGGGACAAGGCAGAGCTGGCCATACAATCTGGTTTTTCTTGTCTCCAATTTATTGTGTTTTTCCCAGATCTACACAGAGGGAAGAAAAAACAGGAATAATGGCTGTTCCACTGTTTATAGTCATTATTTTCATTAAACAAGTAGGATTTTTCTTCCCTCATTAAAGCCAACCTTGTGAAAGAATTTTCCAAAATTATTGTTAGAAAATTCATTTTCTTCATACAATTGATACTAAAAAAACCATGAACATTAATTTTTTAGGCTACAGATAAATAGAATCTGTAGACAAAAATCCTTTTTAGAAAAATTAAGAGACAATTTAGCTCATCCACAATAAACTAACTGCAACAATCTACCCACAACATACTAATACAGTAATGGAATTTTGTTTCCAACTTCACATTTTGTAAGAACATAATTGTAATAGAGTAATTACATAAGCAAAATTTATTTTTTGGACTAAAAATTAATAATAATAGTAATTTTCTGTTGCTTCTTACCATGGTTCATCATAATAGCTCCTTGTAACATTGACAATTTGATTCATTACACCACACACTCTCTCTCTCTCTCTACTGTTTACCAAAGAGAGAGGAGAATTAAAATAGAGAGTTCAGATCTATAGGGTGGATAGTTAAAGGAACAGATCAAAAACAAAAACAATTCCAAAAGTACTTGATTTTTGTTTTCACCTTCTATCTCATGCACACTGACACACGACAAAAACCAATCTCATTACCCTTTCATTTTCTCCTCTATTTCTCACCAAATACAGATGGAGAGAGAGAGAGAGAAAGACTTTATGATTGAATGATGAAAGAGAGATAAAAGAGATAGAAACACTAGCAAAATAGCAGATAAACATAGAGGGAAGACAGGAAAAACAGAGGAAGATGAAGGGGAAGCAGAGACAAAAACACTTGCAGAAGATAATTTTGTTTTCATTTTTACCTCATCACATTGACACACAACTTCTTTTTTTTTCCAAAATAAAAATACTAAATTAAAATTAATATTAAATACGATGATTAAAAAAATCATTACTAGCCTCGGATTGAATAAAAGAAGAACAAAAAATCAAACCATAGGATCAATCCTTTCTCCAAAAAAATGTTCAGCCATATTAACTCTGATATGATTTTAGTCAACCAGCTGATAATAATTTTAGAAGAATAAAAAAACTAAGATTGTAATTATATTCAGTTATATTGAAAGAGAAGGATTAAAGATTGACATTGTGGGAAACATCTTTGTCAAATTAAGTATGCTAACTAAAATGATTATAACATCATCACTAGCATCAAATTGAATATGAAATCAAACCTCTCTCCCTATCAGTTCTTGCATAGTTTGCCCACCAGTGAATTTTCTTTTTACTTTTCTTATACATCAAATATGAAATATATTTTTTTTAAAAAATATTTATATATTTTTAATTACATCTACTAATTTTCATAGAGAAGGAATCTTCTTGTCAAGAATATCCATAAGAGATATGAAAGAGTCCAATTTAATGCATATGTACTGTATTCCTTGTTTCACACCCACTCTACAATCTGGCTTTGCTATGACACCAATCTCCACATCTCTCGTTTACTCTCTCTCTCTCTCTCTCTCTCTCTCTCTCTCTCTCTGGCTTTGCCATTAGACCAATCTACACAACTTACAATCTCATTTACTAACCCCCACACACTCTCACTCTCTCTCTGTTTCTTTCTATATACAGGGACGGGCTCTTCGAAACCATCCCTCTTCCCCACAACTATAGCATTGGCCATGGACGAAGCTGGCCACCCGTGGCGGACGGAGATCCCCCGACCACCAGAGCTCCCCAGGGACCCCATGGAGTTCCTCTCCCGCTCATGGAGCGCCTCCGCCTTCGAGGTCTCCAGGGCCCTGACGCCGCTTCCGCCTCCGGCGGCCGCGATCCCCGAGGACGCCGCCGGCGAGCTGGAGGAGCTCGGTGCTGCGGCTGCGGCGGTAGCTGGGAACACCTTCTCCTTTGCCTCCTCGGCCACCTCGCAGCTCGTCATGGAGCGGATCATGTCGCAGTCGGTGAGCTGCGTGCTCCAAAATCCCATCTTTTCTTATCCCTTCTTCTCTTCCTACTGTTCTTGAGCTCAGGACACACACTCTGTTGCCGTTCCTGTGCTGTTCGTCTTCTCTTAAGGATCTTGGCAAATCGGAAGTAAGCCAAGCAACATTTACAGTCCAAATTGTTCCTCGTTCTCCGATTTAATCTGGTCTTTTGATGTGGATTTCCTCTCAAGTAACTCTCTTCTTTTTCCTGTTGGCTAATGCTGAAATTTTAAACTTTGATTGCTGTGTTTGCTTCCCCTGTTCTTGTTGCCATGGCAGGAGGTGTCTCCTCTCACATCAGGACGCCTCTCCCACAGTAGCGGGCCGCTGAACGGCGGTGGATCACTCTCTGATAGCCCTCCCGTCTCCCCTTGCCACATGGACGACGTCAAGGTTATTCTTCTCTCTCTCTCTCTCTCGATCTCTCGAGTTGCTTTCTTCCTTGTCTGCGCTTCTGCGACTACTGTTCTTAGCTTCGTGTTGAAGAAAACAATGTCTTCTAGTAAGCAATAATGATTTCCGAAACTGGAGACACTGCGTGAAGACAGAGTGATGACCAATGTCTCTGCACGCCTATCTCTAGGATGTCAGTGTTGGGGGTGAAAGAGAGATGGAATAAGAGGAAGAAGACAGAGGAGGGAAGAATACAACGCTTCCTCTTCTTCTTCTTCCAATGAAACCACTGACCTGTACACCACCATAAACGTGGCTTCGCAGTTACGCACTTCTGTTGTCGTGTTATACTCTGTGTTGAGCTTGTGTTGGGACTTGGAGCTTTGTTCTGCTTGAGAACAGAGGAGATCTCGTTCCTCTCGGCAGTGCTCTAGTGCCTCCTCGATTACTACACTGCTCATCACTTTCTCTTAATCCGTGCAGTTCTGGGGAGCTGCTGACGCACGGAAGCCTCAGCCGTGCCGAGGGACGAGCAAGACAGTTGGGAGGTGGCTGAAGGACAGGAGGGAGCGGAAGAAAGAGGAGAGCAGAGCCCAGAACGCGCAGCTCCACGCTGCAGTCTCCGTGGCTGGGGTGGCTGCGGCGGTCGCTGCAATTGCAGCGGCCACCGCCTCCGCCTCGGGCTCCGGCAAGGACGACCGCGCTGCCAGGACCGACGTGGCGGTGGCCTCCGCCGCGACGCTCGTGGCCGCGCAGTGCGTCGAGGTCGCTGAGATCATGGGGGCTGAGCGCGAGCACCTGGCGTCGGTCATCAGCTCTGCCGTCAGCGTCAGGACTCCGGGGGACGTCGTCGCCCTCACGGCCGCTGCTGCCACCGGTAACGACTGTTTGATCTCCCATGGCTCTCGATTCACGTCGTTCTTGCGACTCATGAGACTTCCTGTGCGTTGGCCGCGGCGGCAGCGTTGAGGGGGGCGGCGACGCTGAAGGCGAGGGCACTGAAGGAGGTGTGGAACATCGCCGCCGTCATACCAGTCGAGAAAGGAGGGGCGGCGAATAACAACCACCACCGCCGCCGCATGCAGGAAAAGGAACTCGACAGCAATAGCAGCAGTGTCAGCGGTGAGCTCGTGGCCGAGGAGAACTTCTTGGGCCTCTGCTGCCAGGAGCTTCTTGCTCGGGGCACCGAGCTCCTCAAGCGCACACGCAAAGGTCTCATCTCACTCCTCCTTTATCACCTTCCTTCTCATCTGCAGCACATGGAAGATGAATCCAAGTTGATTGCGGATCGCAGGTGCGCTTCATTGGAAGATCGTCTCTGTCTACGTCAACAAGATGGATCAGGCAAGTCGATCCTCGTAGCTTCTCCATGAATGCTCACATATCTCTGCTTACTGCTCCTTGTTGTTCTTTGGTGCAGGTGATGCTTAAGACGAAGAGCAAGCATGTCGCAGGGACTATCACGAAGAAGAAGAAGAGTCAGTGCCATGCAATCATCATCCATTACAGATGACGAGCAATTGAACTCCCTCTCATTGATCTCATGGAACTGTGGGCTTTGCAGGTGTTATCGTCGAGGTTTGCAAGGACATCCAAGCATGGCCGGGCCGGCACTTGCTGGAAGGCGGCGAGCGGCGCCGCTACTTCGGGCTGCGGACGGCGGAGCAACGTGTCATAGAGTTCGAGTGCCGGAGCCGGAGGGAGCACGACATGTGGACTCAGGGAGTCTCCCGCCTCCTCAACATCGTCAACGAGAAGAAGAAGCAGCAGCAGCAGCAGCACCACCACCCCCACCGCGCCTGAACGCATCTTGAGGAGAATGGTTGCAGTCGGTAATGTACTGATCTGGGTTCCCATTTGCCATTATAGAAACCAGAAGCTTGAGGGGCACTCCATCTTTTTGTTGGACCTCGGCAGAAACATAGGAGAAGGAGATGAGATGCAGGAAGACATGAGGACCAGAAGTGCTTCTGCAGTCAAAAAGGCATTGATGCTGCAGCTTCAACTGTGACTTTCCCTTTTCCAAAACTCCATGTGTTGAACACAGAATGGTTCAGAATTCCAACAGCATTTGCTGCTTGCATTCACGGAAATGTGGCGTTTTCATCACTGGAAGCAGCTCTGAGGATCTCATTGAACACAAACATCATCTCTTTCACTACAATTCTCCTCAGTGTCATGTAAATGTGGTGTTTTCATCCAAGTATGCAAAAACTTAGTAGCTCGTATGTGATGTAAAATGAGTTGGGTATGTTTTTTTGTGTGAATCACCTTAAGCAAGGTTTCATTAAGCAAATTCAGCAGACTGACAAACAGCATAGACAGGCTACAGTAATCAAATCTTCCTAAACACAAAACCTTGAACAGAATCAAGGATTACAGTTTGGATCTATTTTGGAGATATTTCGAATATAAGTGTATTGATTATATCGGTATGTAAGATTTGATGGGAGAAAAGAGGAAGAAGAGGGGGAGAAGCAACAGTAGCATACCTAGGAAGCAATGGCGAAATAGGAGAAAGGAAGATGGAAGAAGAGGAGAAGCAACAGTAGCATACTTAGGAAGCAATGGCGAAATAGGAGAAATAATGGTTGCGATGTTGAACACCAGAAGAGAAGAGGGTTTGCAAACGTGAACCCTAATTTTCATTTTAATTTTTAATAGTAATAATAATAATAATTATTATTATTAGTATTAATATTAATATTATTTATTTTATTAAATTGGATCTAATAATTCGAAATAAGTGTGGTCATATCGGCCCACACTTGGATCAATTTGTATCATCTGTTGTATATCTCCGTTTTTACCATTTGAGACAGTATATATCTGAAGAAGAACAAAAAAAAAAAATACAAGAGAAAAAGAGGAAGAGAGAAAAATGAGTCATGTTTAATCCAAAAAAAACAAAAGAAATGAATCAGATCAGACCATAAAAAAGGATGGTCTTGCATATGAACGACTTGAAGGATTTCGATTTGCAACAATTCTCATCGGTGAATACCATCTTATATGAATGACTCGAAGGATTTCGGTTTGCAACAATTCTCACCACTTTCTTCATCTCCAATGCTATAGCTACAATTGATTATTTGCGTCTACGGTGTTCATGCTCGAACCGGTAAATATCATCAGATTAATTTTAGTTCTCATAATTGCCACTACTTTCTTTCTCTCCATGTATCAATCAGTCATCACCTCCTATTCTCGCAAATATTAATTGGGTAAGCAAACATGTAAACAACCCCCTAACTGTCATTCTTTCGATTCTTTCAATCTCATAGAAGGAAAAGAAAACTCCCATGCACATGCCATGGATATCCATTTCTTATTTTTATAATCTCTTTCTAGTTGTTTTGTATCTCATATTTGTTGAAAAATCTACAATATGTAATCTTGAAGTTCTCCCAAATTTAAAGAACTCTTCATAGATTTGGGGTTGGCTGCACTGTGATTTTTGTTGTTCTCCACAAACCATCATGCAAATGCTTCCAGCTTCTAATGCCCCATCAACCACATCATCCAGAGAGAGAGAGAGAGAGAGAGAGAGATTCAAAAAGCAAAGATGATAATAAGTCCAGCAAAAGATGATAATTCTAGAATTCTAATCAACCACAACAATAACAAGTCATAATCACAACGTCCCAACTATTTGAGGTCGAGAATCACTGAACACTGTACTAGTCAACCACATCATACAAAAATAGTGATTAACAGAGCTTTTGTTTCAGTTCAGCAAGAGATGATAATTCTACCATACTAGTTCTCTTCAAGATGTGGTTTCCAATAAGTAGAAAAGCTGTAAGCAGACGGGCAAAAGCAATAGCTCAGTCTTCTCTAGCTCTAGAAACTTTTCAGACTGCCAGTGTTATGCATTTCAAGTTTGCCAACTGGGAACCCAACCATACGAACCACACAAAAGAATAGACTGCAATTACATCAACGAGAGATACTAAGTGATTGCAAATCATTGAAGGCCTTACTCTAAACAGATCATCATATCACCTCCAACTCCTGATGGAATGTCTATTTGAGACAACAAATGGAAAAGAGGTTTAACACCAACTGATCAATCTGTCATTTATTCAAATTAGATACAGCGAATAACAAGGAGTTGAATGAACATAGGTCTTGTTTTTGCAATTACAAGACAGATAATTTCCAAGTTCAATAATGTGTCGCAAAGAGATCTCTACACACATTCAGTTTATTTATTCACTATGTATGATTTAATTGTTAGCAGCTCTCAGTATGGTGAGCAAATTAAGGAACAGATTTATGATGTCAATATAGAGAGCAACAGCAGCCCATATGTACTGGTCATAAGAGTATCTCTTGATCAAGTTGTCTGTGTCGTATATGATGTAGCCTGCGAATATGATTGCTGCTAACCCTCCATATATCATCATGGAAATCTTTCCCAGTGGAAATAGAATCTGAAGCATGATTGGTAATATGAATGACTGTAAGTATAAACAATCAAACAAAAAACAAAAAAGTGAGAAAAGCCATGTAATCAGTGTTTTTACCTGGATGAGTGAAAACACCAGTAAGACCAAGATAGCAGCAAAAAGGAAAGGACCAAGAAAGTTGAAGTCATGGCCTCTCCGAGAAGCCCAGAAGGTATACAGAGTGAGGCTAACAACCACCACTGCAGTGAGAATAGCAGCTTCCAAAATGACCTTTCCTGTTTCCAGTCAAAGACTCAGTCTCCATATCAACTCCTAAAGTACAATGCTAACTGAAAGTATCTGAACATTTCTAGAAGAAATTTGTCAAAGGCAGGCACAATAGGGTGGATCTGAGAACAATTATAACAAGAACAGTATAAGGAGAGTCTAATACAAGCACATGCAATGAATATGAGTCTACATAAATGTAGGAATTTGGTGACTTGAGGAACAGTACAAACGCCCAAAGTAGATTTAATAAGACCTGTGACCTAACGCATAGCCCATTGTAGACTGCTATTTATTTAACAATTACAAATAATTATCAAGTACTTTGTGTCACCATTTTGTTCAAACCAATATCTTAAAGTACTTTGATGCTCAAAAAGTTCCTCTGTTTTTAGGTATGCTATTATAAAAAAGGTTAAACACCTGAAAAAGCTCCCTCCCTCTCTAAACTCCACACAATCGCCCAGATGCAGTCATCTTTCTTTACCAACTTAATCATGGAAATTGCACATATGCAAGTGCTTATAAGACAATTAAAACCAATCGTCCTTTGTAAATGGCCCTGCTGCTTGACCAAGCAATAATTTAGCATGAGGAATCTTCCTATCTAAGACATTCCCTGTCAACTTGTTAATTGTAAATTCAACCTTCCAAGATGCATGTGCTTCTGTTCCAAGTTATTTAAAAAAACCATGTTTATGTGTCATGATTGTCTTGTTTGAAAGTTGAGACAACAACAGCTTTATTTGTAAAATAAAGAAAATATTGCCATAAACCATCTTGGCATAAAACAAATACTCCAGAAACAATGGTTAAATTCATTTTATGATAGAAATTTCTACAGCGGTTTGACCAAGCACAAGCTTTTATATCAAGTCCAATAAAGGTACTTCAAACTGCCAGCAGCAAACCAGTCACCGAGTTTGCAAGCATATGACTATCACATTTAAATGCCTCTTTCCAACTCAAATCAATTGAATTGATCTACTTCTTACAAAAGAAGATATTGATTCCGCCACATGCCTTAACATGTGAGTACCACAATTGTTGGCACAAAGTTTATAAGAGACCTTAATAACTGCCAGCAATCAACTAGCAAATTCTAGGATGTATAAGTAAAACCTAGTGCTGAAAACGATAGTAAGAAAAGGGGAGGTTCTTAACGTATCTATTTCATTGGATCTACACGTAAGCAAACATAAAATTCTTCCAACAATTCAGCAAATAGAAATGCTCACAACCAGCAAGAGATGGATTTTCTACAGTAGCTACAAAAGATGTCCATTCAAGGTAAATTCTGCAGATAGAAATCTATGGAACAACTTTGTCCAAAAAGGTTCACAGACATTAGTTTTTTCTAGTTACCATCACCAATGACTATCCTAATTTAACCACTAAAAAAGTATCAGGTTGGCCCACTAGAACAAGGATGAAAGGACTGGATGTCTATAAATACATGTGCTATAAACCTCACATATAGTATCCAATGCTTTGGTCAAAACATAATGAGACATAAAACTGCCCAAAGACAAACAAATATTATCTTCTTCAAACAAATAAAGAAACAAGAATATAGATTAGCTGTTACGTTTTCATAACAAAAAGAATGTTTTCATTGTAAAAAGAAGATAGAAAAAAAGAAGAATTTTGTGAATGAAGAATCAAGAAGATAAAAACATCCAGTAAAAGAATAAAGCAGTAATAGTGCAGATGATGTAACACGGTTCCTGCATTTAATGATTGGCGGGGACCTCACACTGCAACCATTCTATGGTTTCACAGCAGTTAACAAGAAACTTAAAAATCAGATTTTGATTGCAGATTCCGAGTCCTGGAATTCAATTCAAATGTATTCTAAATAAGGTAAACCCAGATGCTGACTTTTTTTCTATCCAAAAACGAGAATGATAGTCAATTCGATGTTAAATGACGCCAAAAATATATTTTTTTACACATCGAGGAAGATTATAGTTCAGATATTACCGTCCGTGAACGCACAGCTCATTCCAACTGCGAAACTGAACGATACAGTAAATAGTCCGAGGAGAAGCAGATTCACTGGATGCCGCTGGTGATAGTAATACAGAGGGCACAAAACTGCACGTATTTACACCGAAATGTTTAAGGGATGAGCACCGCAGCAAATTACAAAAAGATACCCAAAAAGATAGCAAAAGGAATACCGATGAGGGGGAGGAAAATAAGGAGGAAGTAAACCGCAAGACCGGCGGTCGACGAGACGAGGAAGTGGGAGATGGGCGGGACGGCGATGACGACGGCGGCGACGGCCGCCGTCAGCGCCAACTGGACGGCGATTATGGAATAGACCTTCCTAATGAAAGCCCACCGGAGCTCGGGGCTCTCCGACATCATCGGGTAGAGCGGCTGCGTGCCGGACTCCAAGTCCCCGGCTTTCTGGTACCCCCCGCGTTGCCACATCCTCTCCGAATACGAATCGCACGGGGGATTTCCGAGAGTTCCGATCGCCGTCTTAGAGTTAGGGTTTCGATTTGAGGCGGAGAGAAAGGAGGCAAGAAGAAGAAGATATATGGTGCGTGGGGACGAAGACAAGGCAACGGAATCCTCCGTCGCGTTGGCCCTGCGAACCACGTGTTCCGGTTTTCTACAGGAATGAGCAGACAATAATATATCCAATAAAAAAATGACACGTCACATAAACTCTCGGTTTCGTTGGTTCAGCCGTCGGGAGAAAAGTAGCCGATCCGCATCCACTGGGCCGATGCTTCGGCTCCAACAATCGCGGCGCGAGAAGCAGGGAGCCGATGGTCGGCGTGCACGAACGGTCACGATCTTGAATATTCTAATCGAACGGACGTTGTTGCGGCGCTCGATCTCTGTTAGAACGTACCCGAATCCGATTTAAGTGGATATCGGTTACTCTCTCTCACCCGTTAAAAGTCGATTTTACTCGAACATATTAAAAATTACCGGTTATTGTCAGTAATAGCTTTATACTTGAATAATTAGTGAGTACCTAATTCACATATCTTAGATAAGATTAAGAATTTAAATTCTTGTTATATAATTTTGATACCTAAATTTATATTTTCTTTAAGAAGAAACAACTTTGTTACAAACTATAGTATTATGAAACCCTCAAAACTCAAAATTTTAATTTTATTGACTAGATTAAAAATGTTATATATTTTATAAATGCTAAAAAAAATAAGTCTATCCCAAATGATCCAAAATTTTGCCCACAAGGGATCTGATGGCTGATGAACATTGCAACCCCTTATAAACTGAGCAGATGCAGAGGTCATTATCTATATTAATATTAAGATGAGAGTTAGAAAAAAATTCATAATGTAATAAAGTAAAAAGGAAATGAATCACTTCCTTATCTAGATAGAGTATGTTAGAAGGGAGATGTTCTCGGGAAGTTGAGATTGGTAATAGAATGGAGAAGACCTTAAATTAAATCAAATGTAAAGGGTATGAGATTAACAATTGCTAAACTTGGTTTTACTCCTTTAGAAATTACGTAAGCAAACTAAAAATCCAACTTAGATGTAAGAATGTCTTAATAGGATTTAACAAAATTATAGAATAAAATGATAATAGAATCCATCCCTCCCCAATAATATTGATCGATAAAACAATAAAAGATTTTGATTTTTTAAGAATAATTAAACCCCAAATAGTCATGTACCCGTTTTCTCCTGTCAATTTGTTGATCCCTCAAGAATCTATAAATATTTTTGAAAATCATTAATCCTTTAGGGTATAGACTCCAAACCCAATTATTATTAACTTAAAATCTAAGTATATACTTGTGATGTTACCGACTAGATAAGGATGAAAAACACAGTTTAACTATATATTTTAGATTCCGACCACTAATAAATCTTTAACATAATGAAGTTTAAAAGTATCCTCACAATTAATAAAATTAGTTCATTTGTTTAAAAGAATATCGAGAAGTCAAGGATCCTCCTACAACCTAACGTGCAACTTAGACTCGATCGCCATCCTAAGACCCCCTCTTTAATGTAATAAATGGTATTGCTAATTCTCCTATACACTCTAGATTCCAAGGATCTACATCCATATTTAACATTTAATACCCTAGCTCAAGAGCATTCGATCTATTGATAATAGAAAGGATATATCAAGCATTAACATCATATCCAAGCAAGTTGATTTCCTTCACCCTAACTCACCCAAACTCTTCAAGGGTAGTGACAAGGTCCTAACTTAAAAAGGGAGGATCATCTTAAAAGAAAAGTTAGTGTGCTAAAGATACTCTTAATAAAACAATTAACAATAAAATGAAGTACGATGAAATTTAAGATAAAGTTTATCAAAATAAACTTAGAGACTCATGATTTTTTTTTGTCATCCATTGTTGATCTTATTAAGTGATTTATTAATTATTTAATTTTAAATATTAGATGAGATTTTATTGTGGGTTAAAATAGGTCAAGTACCCTTAATAAAATTTGAGACATTGTAGATCATATTTTGATATCAATCAAATAGTTTTTGAAAAAATAAATTATTACCTTGTTCTTATTAATGTTAAGGCTAGTTAAGGTGAATTACACGTTCAATACATTAAAGAGGTGACACAACAGTTAGGAATAGCTCTAATAGTAATTTAAATATTATCCATGAAAATAAGATAGAAATTTTTGATTTTTTTTAAAGTGAAAGGTTTAATTTTGTTCTTCTTAATACTCTTCTTAATAATTATATCGAGTCTCTTCGAGAGATACCTCAAAAACTTTTTAACTAAATAAATTTATTATTATTAACAAAACACTTAAACATAGTAAAAGCAACATAAGCTATGACCTAATCATATAAATATGAGAAAATTTTATTTTAGCAAGAAACGAGATAAGATAGACTAAGATAAATAATCAAATATTTTTTGAATGTTTATTTTAATTAAAATAAAAGTTTTTCCTATAAGAATTATATATCAAGTGGGTCTTTTTTTTTTTGGCAACAGTGTATTATCATGAATAAATTTATCATGGATAAAAATAGGTTATTCCTGATTAATAATATTGTCGAGAATATGTTTAACAAATTAGATAGCATCCGGAGTTTATAATGACATTATTAATTGTTATAAAGTAAAAGTCATTAATAAAAAAATTAAAGAGACTCTTGGTTTTAGATAAAAGAATAATATATATGTAAAATTCACTAAAACTTGACATAATAAAGAACTTAAGGAATTTCAAAAATAAGAGAAAAACTTTACCATAAAGCTATCCGACCTTAGCCTTTTGCACAATCACATAGTTTTGAGGATAGTAAAGATCTCATTATCGACTTAACTAAAGTTATCTCACTTATCTCTACTGATTTGAGAGAGAAGAGAGTATAGAACCAAACCTCATTGTTATCGTAGTAATCGATCAACTAGATGATAAATACCAATCAATAAATTTATGGTAAAAAGTAGTTGGGTCGTATAAACATTCTCTAAAAAAGAAAACTTTAATATTATTGAGATATTTTCTATATTGGACAATGTTATGAAAGAATTTAGTATCATTGTCTCCCTCCTTAATTTATTAGACTTTGCCTCTCAATCACCATTTAATATAGATCTGTCTATTTAAAATTATGTTTATTATATAACCTCTAAGCTATCTTTTAGTGTCTGACCCTACGAAGGTATCAATTTTATTGCCTGTTTAGAAACATAATTAAGAATTTTTTCTATGCATCGATTTTTGTCTTATTTGATGAGTTTAGAGCTAAAATTGTAGAGATTGTTATGCAAGTAGAGTTAGAAGTCCCAATATAAGAAGAACAAATTTTATTGACAACAAAGTTTAGGTTGATGTAATCAAATTAGTGAGGTTCAAATGAGAATAGTTTTCTACCCATCTTCTTAACAAACTAAACAAAAATCTTAATTAATAAGGGAGAATAATCAAAGATAACATAGGATAGATGAAATATTACAACATCGTAAAAGAAAACAAAGTACTATTTGCTCAAATCTGTTGTTGCTCCAAGTAAAATGAGGATTATATGATACACCTAAATAGTTAGTTCCATGATTTTATATCTGAATTAGAGTTCAGAACCTAAATAATTAATCTAATAATAATGTATCTGACTCACAATTTGAATTATCATATTGCTTTCCCCGCTTACTCTTTGAAAAAAAATTCTTATTTTGTATTTTTATATAGAATGTCAATTGATTGCGGATAGAATGGTCTTAGAATTGAATTTAATTTTTATTCACTTATCATCCAAATTTTTTAATTTATCTTCAAACCATTAAACTTGAATCTTTAAATCCCAAAATTTATAATATATATTTGATTATTGAATTCTTAAACCCAACATAATTCTTAATTATCACTTGAAATTAGAAAGAAAATTTTGATTAGAATTGTTTGTAATTGTATAGATATATCAATAGAGATACTAAACCTGATTAGGATAGAAATCCATATAAATTAGAGGGATAATAATCTATTATAACCCTCAAATTCATCTTATCATTTTTTTTCTCTCTGTTAACATGAATTTTTTTTATAATTGGGTAATTTAACATCATTTATGATAAATCAAGATTTAGTTTGATAGCAAAATGATGAATTAGAAGGAAAACATTGTTTGTTTGTTTGTTTTCCTCCTAAGAAAAGATTTTTTTAAATCAATAATTTTTTTATTCATGCACAATATTATATTTCTCATATATATTTTTCCATTATCTTCATCAATAAACCCAAAAAAAACCTTGAATGACTAAGTCAAAATTGATTGAAAAGTTTGAATATAAATCTTAATCCAAAATGATGATCAGTGAGCAAAAAATTGGATTGTTTATTATAAAGGACAAGTTTAGTAATGGAGAACATTTAATTTTTGTAAGAAAACAATTTATTGAGTAAGCATTGTAAGAGAAGATTTTCTTCAATACATAAGTGAGTTTCTGGGAATTAGAAATTTTACTTGTGAACAATGTGAACTAAAAAAATACAAACAATGTCTTCAAAACTCAGCATTTACTACATAAAAATGATTCTTAGCCTCAAAATCAACAAATCCCCTTAAAATCTTGCAATTCTAAGGTGAAAATTTCAGCCTTAGAAAAAGTCATTTTTATGATATATATATATATATATATATGTAAAATATAATTTAATATAAAGAAAATGATTGGAGCTACTTTTATCTCTTAATCTAATTTCCTTCTTCATCCAATTATTTTAAAGATCATTATGATTAAATTACTATGAAAACACTTTACATAATTAGATGATGCAAATCTCTTTTTCTAATCTGATGGGCCACGAGGCTTGGAAGGTTTTGCATATTAGTTAGGGTTTTGGTTTACCTAATTTATTTTAGATATAAAGACACCTAACTCAGTCAAACTAAAAAGGTTTTTAACTACCTAATTTCAATGAAATAGAGTTTAGAACGTGACAACCTTAGATTGCATAGTTTGTTAAATAGACTAAAGAAGAAACCTACTCTGCCAATGACAAGTCATGTCATGTTTAGGTGCAATTAATTGGCCAACTCAGACCTACTCCAATGCAAATGCTAAATATTTTCACATATTTCATTATTTGTATGTGAAAATGGAACAATTGTTTATGCTGCTCTTGGAATTGACTTTAGTGACCTATATAATGTTATATGTGTGTATATACATTGTGATGATAGAAAAAATTGAACATAGAGTTTGATTACTTTGCCTTACATGGTTTGATAAAATTAATTATAAATTTAAATTTAAAAACTTGATTTGTGTGCCACCACAAAGGACATCATGATTCAAGCACTCATACTTTCATGAAATCTCATAATAATGCATATCAAAGAGGTCAAGTTACAATTAAATATTTTTCATTTACAATAAAAATTTTATTTCATCTTTTTTTAAAATTTATTTTCATCATTCCTTGAGTTATCATAGCAAATTTGCTGATCCTATACAATCTGACTCATTTTCTCATCTAAGAAACAGTTAAAAAAAAAAAGGAGGGTAAAATTAATTTTTTATTAGAAAATACTATGTGAAACTTTCAAGAGTGACTTTAGTTAATGTTGTAAGATGTGCACACTAAACACCTTGTCAAAGGGGGTTGCAAATGACCCATCCATGTTTTGAGTCATAGCAAGATGGCAAACTTGGCTATTTGACACACAAAAGTGTAGGTCCCATGAATAATTTATGTTTTACTGTGTCAGAACCTAAGCTATGGCAGCTATGGGTTTCATATTGTCAACTCAAAGAGAAAGAGGAACATGCAGAGCCAGCAGCTGATTTGACTTGCAAACAAAGCTGGGGGGATTGGATGCACTTGGGATATATATAATCCTCTGTTTCAAATTCCAATAGCAGCAGCCTTCTCCATTTAGGTTCCATTTGGAAGTTCTCAACTCAAGCGCATGACATGCATACTGTTGTTGAGATTCAAATTTGATAGATACAGTTGTTTTGACTCTGATAATATTTAGGAAGAGGTTCTTTAAATTCACATAATTTCTTTGTATTAGGTCTGTCTGTATACATTAATTCTTCCTAAATCATTGAACTTCTTTAAATTAAGTTTATATGCATTCTCTCTCTCTCTCTCTCTCTCCATATCTTTGGTATTAATGGGATCTAGATTCATTCTTTATTAAAATTACTATACCAAGAAGAGAGGCTTTTTGAACTTTATGTTGCAAGTCTTTTCATTCTATTGAATTTGTTGTACTGTGTTCCTTTTTTTTTTTTTTTTGTATTTGAGTTCTTATAGTAAGATAACAACAACTCTATTATATATGTACATATATATATATATATATATATATATATATATATATATATATATATATATATATATATATATA